TGCCTGTGCCACTGCCTGACCATTCAAATGAGTACATATTCAGGGATGCCCTGCTTGTGTGCACAGTGGAACTACTAACAAAATACGCGTACATCGAAAAATATCGTTCCATGCCAAAAGAATGTCCGTTTAAGTATGTAGGGAAATATTGAAGAGTTTCATAATTATAATTATAATTATTATTCAACATACACCAAAACAAAACATGTCGAAACAATTTGAGTCATGGGTTGGCATATACTCGTACATTGATAGCTAGTGTGGTATATCACATGAGTCTGCACACCAACTTTGGTTACTCTAGCTCCCTGATACGGAGTCTCTGAGATCTAGGCGTTAAACCAGAAAAATCTTGTTTCGTTGGCGAGTTATTAATTTTGGCTATATCGACGCGGCAAGAATTAATTGTGGGTTCAGCAACGGTTCGTTCCTTTTGTCAGCTACAAGTACACATTTAAATATATCCAAATGTGCATATCTGAATATTAAATATCAACCTTTCAGATTCATATTTCTTATAACAGCCTATACACAGACATATACATACGGGTTGCACATATTTATTTTGCGATTGATAGCTGTTTGATTTGATTCTTAAACTTAAGCTATAATCAATTAATAAGTATATAATTAAACCATTTCTAATGGTCAACCAATAGTCAATGTGAATATATATTTTTACGAATTTAAATCAAATTATTTTCCTTAGTGGATTGAGTTCTTGCCAGCCGGAATCAGCCTTTTTTGCTCCACTGTGCGTTATGATTGAGTTTTGGGTGGGGGGTGGTGGCGGGGGAGACGCCAAAGGCGTGCATTGCATGTACATGAAGCCATCACCACACCATACCACATTTGGCTGCATATGTTGGCACGTTCTCTGGCCCCACGCACCACGCCCCACGCCCAGCTTGTCCCTGACCCCTGATCCATTCTTAGGATGGCAAAACATGCCTCCTTCATTTGCTGCTGCTGCTGCTGCCCCACACATCCTTGAAGCGACACCGTCGTGCGTGTACATAGGCAAATAAATATTATAGCTGGCCGTGAAGTGGGAATGTAGCAACACTTGCGGCCCGTAAGGGTTGCCACACACACACACATACATATGCAGATACACCCCCACCCCTCCCCATTTGGGGAACTGCAGGCGTGCAAAAGTTCAATTGGCGTAAGGTCCACAAGACGATGCCGCAGTAATATGATTTACGGGTCTGTCTGGTTGCCAAATTGGTGGACCGAGAGAGAGAGATTGAATGGGCGAGGAGTGGGGGTGGGCTGATACACCACAAAGGGGAGTGGGATATGCGGGGAAAAGGGGCAACAGGAGGTCTTCCTTGCCTCAGGCAAAGGTGCGTAGACCTCTCTCATTATCGCCTCGCCTTTTCGCTTCATTTTATCCCATGCCATGCCATGCATATTTCGCACACACATGGACTTGGAAAGGGTTTGACCCTCCCTCCTGTCCATGGGTGCTACCCAAAAAATATATATTCAAATGAATTGGAGGACAGTACCAAGCCAGACCGATCTTTGATATATTTTCTGAGTACCAAACCAGACCCCCTACTCTCATAATCTCATAATTACAGAATAAATAAATAAATAAAAATAAATAAAATATAAAAAAGAGAAAAATCTGAATATCACTTCTGTGACCTGTGAGATCACCTGCCAATGCGGCTTAGCACGGAAATAATTTGAGCGTCAATCAGCGCCGCAATAGAAGCATATCCCGCAGGTTAAAATGGCAAGTCAGTTCTGCTGTGGACCCATCTAAAACCTCCGCCGATCTGTGGGGTCACAGCACCCAGTAGACAGACACATATGGAATATAGAATAAAATGTGATTTTGTTTTTAGATTTTTCTTAGGCATTTCTCGCATTTATTTCTTATAGTTCTCGTAACACTCGTTTTCCCTCGCACAGTTCATTCATTATCTTTTTTTTATTATTTGTTTTTCGTTTTTTTATATGTTTTGAATGTTTCTATCAAAATTACAAAAAATTCCCTTTTGATTCCGGAATATAAGGTATATATAGTAATATATATATATATATATATCAAATGTGTGTTTTGTTTTTGTTTTTGTGGGAAAAAATCGTATCAAATGGCAACATTGTTCACTATATAATAGACCTGCAAAGAATTTCTTGGGCTTTTCATTTCCATTTTTTTTTGTTTTGTTTTGTTTTTCTTTTCATTCAGTATTTGTTAATTATTATTTTGTTTGCTTGGATTTTAGTTATTTTGTTGTTGTAAATTTGTAGTTAATGCATATATGAATGATGTTTAAATGTTTTTGTTTTTATTTTTTGCGGCGTTACAATTATTTATGTATTTATGAATTTTGTTGAGTGTTTGTGTTGTTGTTATATTGTAGTCGAGTGTATTGTGTATTGTGTATTGTTTTGCTGTGACTGCAGTTTGAGTTTTGTTTGATTTTCTTAGTAGATATTTTAGTTAGGATTCTGCTTTCTGTTTCTGTTTGATTTTTTTGTTCGTTTAGTTGAACACACGTCTTATTTACCTAAGTTTCCCCTCTTTTTCTTTTAACATTAAAATTGATTTTTATTTAAGCACAAAACAAATGCAAAAGGGAAAATCAATAAAGTACAAAACAAAATGGCAAATTAAAATGCATGTTAAAATGCTTTTAGTTGAAGCTTGTTGTTTTTTTTTCGAGTAGTTTTCTAGATTCCACATTCCTTTGCCATTAATCGCTATATATATATATCAAGTAATCCTATTTTCTATATATATATATTCTTTTAGCTTTGATTTTGGTTGCTTACGCTCTAATTTCGGTTTTAGCAAAAAACATTCACGACGACGGCGCCTATGGCACATCCTTGTGTTCCCTCCATATACATGTATACACACACACACACACACACACATACATATATATGCATGCATGCATGCAAATACATATATATAGATATATATATAGCGTATAGTTTCTAAAAAATATCTTCATATATTCCTTTATTCGTATAAATATCAAGCTTAAAAAATTGGCATTTCCTTTAGTTGTAAGTATAGGTATATATCGTAGTAATCCCTAGAGTTCTATATGCATAATACCATTTGATTCTGCATCGGATAGGAAAGTAAAATGCAAACTCTTTATCTTCTAGGCCCACTAATGCTGTCGTTAATTATCGGAAACCAAATATCGCGTGTTAATCAGGGGGGCATAAACTAAATGGATAATCGATGGATTCGATTCGATCATTTTCCGATTTCTTGATCTTAAACTTAACAAAAGGTAACATATGCAAAAATATACAGACATGCAGTGCGTTTGACCTCTCCTTCCTTATAGCTGTGTCACGCACTGTACATATGCATATTCACATCGATATATATATATCATACATACAAAATATGTAATTGTATGACTTTCTCCGACAAACAAACATAGAATGGCAATCAAGTTACTACAAAAAGAACACAGAAAAACATTATCGGGCGGCTACAATCGATAAGAGATCGATAGGAGGCAATATTGATTACAGCTATCGATAATCGATTGGTGATTTTGATTACTGTTAATTGGATCTCTGGTGTGGATTTGTTTTAGTTTGATTTCTTTTGATTACTGCACTTCGGGGAGAACACAAAAAAAAACCCTAAATACATACACATATGTATATTTTCCCCCTCTTCGCTAAAAACGATTCTTAACTCTTAGATGAACAAATACAACACATACATACATATACATATATAATCCATATACATATATATGATATTGAACCATTAGGAACGCGCCTTACAAAATGATTAAAAATCCGAATATCCTAGGAAAACAATAATTAATTAATACATTATATTATTACAATTACAATTACTAGATGAAATACAATATTTGATTTGTGTACAGAAATAACTCTATATAGACGACGCTTATATGCGTTTTTTTTTTCTTTTCATTAAAAACTAGTTGGATTTACCCATACCAATGCGCAATATACTATATATTTTCTATATATTTTTCAATCAGTTGTCATGATGTTTTATTTTAAGGAATTCTTTCTAATGATTTTCAAAATAAGTACAATCTTTATAGGAATATTAAATATCTTCTCTATGGATACTACAGAAATTTATGAAAATTTTAGTAAGCAAGAATGATGATCTTCGCATTTCTATGGATTCAAAAGATTATAAAGGGAATATATACATCTAGTAAAATGTCCAATGTCATAAGGAAACCCGCAAATATTCTTATTAAGTATTACCAGTTGCGGTGCCCAATGATTTTTTTTTTACTATTGACTATTGTTTTATGGCGTCTCTAATGATTTGAAATGAGTAGAAAAGATTTTGTACATCGACACATGAGCATCAAATATATAGATCTATACAGTTATATATATACGCATTGTATTGTAGGGCTTCCGGTTTATACGGTTCGATTTCCCATTTCTTCGGACGAAGCCGCGCATTTGATGCGCTGCAAAAATAAAAAATTACAACAAAAAAAAAATAAAATAATAAATACAAAATCTTAAACAGGCATAATAGTAGGTATATAAAAACATTCTACACTTATCTCCGAAACTAATTAGATATATATATATATATATATATCGGTTTGCTTTTTTAAAAATAATGCACTATCGTTAAAAAAAAAAACAGTACATATTACACCTTTATCGCTTTTTGCTTTTTTACAATCTAAAATTTTAGCTTAAAATATATATTTTTACTAAAATGATTTTCGCTCTTGAATCGACATTCGAGTGATTTAAGATCCTGCCTTTCCTTCTATTTCGATATACATAATACTTGTGTAAGCGAATTAGCAGATGCATATACCAAGTATGCAATATGCTATATAGAATATATCGTAGTTCGTATATATATGTATACGTAATGTTCGTTTTTAGGGACACATTCCATTGCTTCCGCCTAAGACTTAAATAGGAATTTGTATTTGTATTTGATTCTCTTTTCTGTTTTCACGTACAACAAGAACGAGGTTACCAATCCCATCCCATCCGATCCATCCCAAATGTGAGCTAAAAGGGGAAAAGAGGAGAAAAAGGAGATTAGTTTCAGTCGCTGATTGGTGTCGAATGGAACTCACTCTCTACACTACGCCCGTTCTACTGCATCCTGCAGCAGCTACAGCACCACCTGCTGGCAGGCAGGACCACGCCACACTCCTACACTCGATTGGTCGTCAGGTGCGTTTTGTCGCTGCGCTTGGGTGGCGGCGGCGGTGGACGCTTCTTGGCTGCCGCAGCACCCACTCCTGACGGTGCCACTACTGGCGCTGGCATGCCGCCAGCAACAGCTGCAACTGCAGCAGCATCTATGGCCATTCCAACTGCACCCAGATTCGGTGCAGCAGCGCCTGCTCCCGATCCATTCGTCTGGGCGTGCACATTCTCGTAGAGGGCATTGTGTGCGTACTCGTAGTGCTCGCGCACCCAGTGGCTGACATTCGCCGTCTCGCGATAATAGTGTGAGGAATTGGCCCCCGAATTAAGATTGTGGGCGGCCAGCAGATCCTCGTTGCTAAAGTCCCTGAAGCCCAGCACCTCGTGCGGCGTAGTGGCTGGCTCTAGCTTGCATTTTTGTGCCACCTGCCACTTTTTGCGCATCACCCGTTGCAGATCCTTGAGAAAGTCACGCGGCGGATTCGAGGCGGACTCCTGCAGCCGTTTGGGCGATGTCACCTCGCTGCAGCTGCCGCTGCCATTGCTCTGGGCAGAGAGACGCGCCAGATCTGTGCGCGGTGGCAGCATCGGTCCGGGCGCATACTGCTGGTACGCCAATCCTGATCCAGATCCTGATCCCGTGCTGAGCGTAGTGCTGGGCGAACGCTGCGGCAGCGCTGGCTCTGGGGAGCACATCTTTCGCCGCAGCAGCACCGGCGAGTCGGCAAAGGAGACCTTCTTCTGGGCCACAGGTGGCGGCAGTGATGGCGGTGGTCCACCAGCAATGCCGCTCTGTGGTCCCACGTAGTCGGGCGGCGCCTTGTACGGGGGCGCTGCCTTCAGGGAGGCCTGCTTGACGGCCGGCTTTATGGGCTTGGCCGGCACTGCCGGCGGCAGGGATCCATTGCTGTTGGGCATTATGGGCATTCCCATGGGATTCAGCATTCCTTGCTGTGTGGGCGTGGGCGTGGTTGGGCTGGATACTTGCCCCTGGATCGGCGTTGGCCCGGCGGATGCATAGGCCATGGCATGCATCACCATCACATCTTCGGGCGGCGGCGGTGGCGGCAACGAGGCCAAAGACAACTGCGATCCATACACATCCTGATCGTCGGCACCGTCCAGACCGTGCGCTGCCAGCGGCGGCGGCGGCGGTGGCAACGAATCGAGCGAAAGAGTGGACGAACACATCAGTGAGGCATCGCTGGAGGAGGCATCGCCGAGATTTCAATGTCGTTGCCGGTGGCAGTGGCAGCGGCAGCGTCTTGGCAGCGCATATGCTGGGCGTGGGCGTTGGCGTTGAGTTGCTGCTCGACGATGTCGATGAGGCGGCACTGCCCTGCTCCTGCTGAAGCTGCTGCTGTTGTTGCTGTTGTTGCTGTTGCTGCTGCTTGACGGTCACCGCTGATGGGACTACAACAGGCCGCCGCTTGAGGGTGCCGCTTCCATTGCTCTCCTGCGACTTCCGACGACTGTGGCGTCGCGTCAATGTGCCACTACGCTCCGGGGAGCTGGCATCGCCGGCACCAGCACCGCTGCCGCCGCCACTCTCGCAGATGGTGATCTCTCCGACCTCCTTCAGCTGCCGTGTCATTGTCGTAAGCGGCAGATTGGGCTTCATCGAGGGCTTCCGCTTGATGGTGCCGGTCGTAAACTCCGAATCGAAGCCATTGTTGTCGTCCGACAAGCAACCGCTCGAACTGGAGCTGGAGGCGCGTGAAGTGCGGCCGCTGGTCGACGAGTTGGACATGCTGCTGATGGCAGAGGAGACGCTGCCGCATTGTGAGGGCACAGCCGATGAGATGCTCGATATGGATTCGCTGCTGCGCATCGAGGCCGAGGCGAAGCTCGATTGCGAGACGCCATCGCCCATGCAGAGATCCTCGATGAGGAGCTTGTGATTTTGCCACAGCTGTTTGCCGTACTTACAGATCCTGATGGCCGTCAGCCAGCGATCCAGCGTTTGCAGATCCTCGGCGCAGAGCATCTTTAGCGATCGACAGGACTTGCCCAGTGACGAGTCCACGGCGGACTTGAAGCCAAAGGTGTAGTCCGTTGGCGATTTCCATTTCTTGCGCCACCCCAAGCCCGTGTACACATTGTGGCCGCTGAAGAGGGTGAGACAGGCGAGATCCCGGGTGTTTTTGGTCTTCTCCTTCGGGAAATAGTAGAGGCCCGAGGAGCGCAGCACAAAATGATAGCGTTTCCAGGCCTTCTTGGGGTCCGCCTTCATGTAGAGCGGCCCGTCCAGCTGCAGTTGGGCGGCATGCGTCTCAAAGAACTCCTCCAGCAGCATGTGGCGTGTCTGATCGTCATGTTGGCATCCGGGCGCCATCTGTGTACCCGGCAGATACACTTCCGGCCGTGAGAAGAGCGCCACCTTGTCCTGGCGCTGCTGGAAGAGCACACGATTGCCAGCGTCTGAATTCCAAGCCATCAGATTGTCCACCAGCAACTCGTGATCCTCGAAGAGGCGTTCTATAACGAGAGACGAGAAGGAGGAGGATTAGTGCGGATCGATGGTAACTCTCATTGGTAGATTCTCTTACCCATTTGCAAATCACCCAAATGCTCGACCAGGGACCAATTTGGCTGCATCTGGACATGATTCTTGTCGGCCAGGAGTCGTGTGACATGACCGCAGACCATCCGCTCGTCCACCAGCAGCGACTTGGAGGCCCCATCCACCGTGAAGGCCTTCACAAAAAGCCGTCGTATGGAGGCGCTCTCCAGTTTGTGCAGCGCCAGTTGGATTTTGGCCGCCTTTGAGCTGCTGCTGTTGCCGCTGCTCCCCTGCCGTTTCTGGGCCACCAGCTGCTGCTGCTGCTGATGTTGCTGCTGATGTTGCTGCTGCTGTTGCAACTGTTGCTGCTGCAGGGATGTGTTGGACGAGGCCGATGACTCGCTGGACAGCAGCGAAACGGTATCGCTGAAGGCCGAATCATTGTCCGGCGATTCGGTGCGTGGCTCTCGATGTGTGACCACGCCCAGCGTGATGCCCATGGTTATGTTTGTGGGCGGCGGCAGCATCATCATCATGCCACCAGCCATCACCGAGGAGGCATTGGAGCCTGCCACAGATCCACCCATTGGCCCCACACCACTCTCGGATATGCCCGAGGTGGAGCAGGTGCTCACATCCGCCGAGATGCTGCTGTTTGTGCGCGAATGGGAGCGCGATGAGGCTGCCGATGACATGATGGAGGGTGGCATCATCACTGCTGCCCCTCCTGCAGCATGTCCTGCATTCGATGCTCCTGTTCCTGATGCTGCTGCTGCTGATGCTGTTCCTCCAGCGCCAGGCAGAAATGATGCCTCCCCATAGCTTATTTGTGCCTCCAGCAGGCTCAACTCCCCCAAAATCTGATCCAGTTCGGACTCCTGTGTGTCCTCCAGGTTGGCCATGGATATGCGGTACGTGTGCGACTGCGACTGTTGCCTGTTGCCAGCCTCCTCCGTCGTCGTTGTCGTCGTCGTCGTCGTTAGGGGACGGTCGCTGTTTTTACGCAGTTTGACGCCGCCAGTGCCAGCACCAGCGCCGCCAATAACTACACCACCAACACCACAATCCCCACCAGCACAAGCACTGGCCGCCTCGTCGTTGGTCCTCCTCCACCGCTGGCACTGCCGCCAACCAAGATTCCTCTTAGGTTTATCTGCAAATAAAAGGCAAACGAGGGATCAATAAAGTTTCAGTTTTCAAAAGCTTCCAAATCGAATTAAGGCAAAGTAGAAAACAACGTGAGTATGAACCCATGGGATACCCTCCACTCAGATAGCGGCAGTCAAATGCAGTAGGAGACACAAACAAATCTACAAGCGATGCAAAATGCAGATACCTCAAATGAAGAGATAACGGAGTACGAGTACGAGTGTACCCTCGCATGCTCGAGTGTGAGCGAAGGGGACAAAGCTACTTTTCTGCATTGCGCTCGATCGCCGTGTCACCGCGTGCCCATGGATGTGTGTGTGTGTGTGTGTTTACATTGGAATAGGAGAGAATAAAGAGATAAGCAAGCAAAGGAGATGGTATGGGGGGATGCCATTTGATATATTTTCGCACTTTGCTTCTCATTTCCCCTCTTTGCTTTTGTTTTGTTTTGTTTTTGCTGATGCTGCCTGCTGAGCTCCACTCACACACTCATGCACACTTGTGGCACTGCATATTACTCATCCGTTCATGTTAATAAACATAAACTACTTTAAACATTCAAGCGAATTTATTGAGTAACATGATTACGTGACAGTTTATTCCTCCTTTGTTACATATGTACATATGTATATTTCGCTATTCTGACTAAAGAAAAAATTAACTGATTCGAATGAATTTTTGTATAGATAGATAGATGGTAGATATATAGGTACATGTAGATAATGATTCTCCAGGGCTTTAATGGCATCCAAGATCCAAAATATGGAAAAGTGTGTGTTTTATTGAATTTTAATTTGTTTGATCTGGATGGAGCTTTCAATGGGGAAAATGCACACATACCATGTACATGTGGATTAAGTACATATATGTATATGTGTGTATGTATCATCAATAGCGTATATACCCCATCCAGCCATTACATTGGTAAATGACAGGGGCGGGCATAATGCGAAAGTCTAAAATATAAAACGTAATCATAATCAACGCTCAACGCTCTCTTTCTGTTCTTTTTCCTGCCTTCTGTTTTTGTGTGCGGTGTGTGGTGCGTGGTACGTGCCGCAGATGTGCGTCCGCTGCCAAATACCGATGTATCGCTTGCGATTACCGATTGCCAATTGCTGCTGCTGCTGCAGCAGCAGCTGTGCGCCGACTTCCCTTCGTTTCGACTCTCCCCCTCTCTACAGCCAAGCTCCATCAGCTGGAATCCAAACACGTTACACATTTCCGTTTGGTAGCAAAAAAAAAAAATATATATATAGTATATATAAAAAAAATAAATAAATAGCCAATGCTGTGGCTGCTGTTTTCTCGACAATCAAAAGCCGATCCCCATTCCATAATAAGACCCGCGTTGGCATTGCTGATAGTTGCGACAGCTTTTTTTTTTTTGTATTTTTTATTTATCGGCTTTGGTGCGGCTCTCTGGGGGCCCTGTTCCGCCGATTGGAACAGTAGCAGTAACAGCAAGTGTTAAGTAATTTTCCAAGGCATAAGTCACGTACTAAAGCGACAAAGAAGTCGCTGTCAGACCCCTACAGACGAAAGGGGTGAGATATACATAGAGAGAGAGAGAGAGACACACAATTACAAAGCTGCTGGCAATTGGCCAGAGACAAGAGACAAGACAAGAGAAGAGAAGAGGAAAAGAAAGGGACACAGGCAGATAGATAGAAAATGTAGCTGGACATTGCCATCAAAAAAAAAACTGTGACCGGAGTGCAGCATCATCGCTTTAAAAGCGAAAAAAAACAAAACAAAACAAAAAATCATGCCCTAGCGGTACACCCGATTGGTTCTCCAAACTGTTTCGGCTCTAAAAAGCTGAAGATCCCCAAAGGCAAACACAGCCCAAAAGACGGTAGATACGATACTCCAGCAAGAGGAAGGATAGGAGGAACTAGGAGGAATCCATGTAAAGTCGCAGTCAATTTTCATATTCCATTTTCGAGAGTCCTTTCCCCATCAGACTTTTACAATATGCACCTATTGGCTTAGTTTTAATTCACTTGAATTCATTCATGATTGCTCCTTTAACGGCTTTGGGGGCTTGCGATGTTAACTCTTCTAACCGATTGAATTATCTTTCAAAAAAAAAACAAAACAAAATCGTCAACGCATAGCCCGCACTTTGGTGTTCAGTGAATGACAAACAAAAATGTTAAACCCTTTGGACGCTGTAGTATAACGATTTACCATCCAAACGGAGTAAATATGAGCGCATCTGCAACGATTGATGGCCGATTGTTAACTGGTAATATTTTTTTTTTTGTTTTTTGGGAGCTCTCCTCCTCCCCGGTCTATAATGGGCTTTTCAACGCTCCGCTGAATGACTCATTGGATTGGGGGACGGACTGTGAAAAGGTTTTTTTATGTCGGTTATATTATTGCTTTGATTTTTTTATTGTTGTTGCTTTTTTGTTTTGTTTTTTTTGGGGGTAATTGGCACTTGAGTGACAGACTGACAGACTGACAGACAGACAGAAAAATAAAAGACACGAAAAATAGGGTCTGGTCTGTCTTCTGTGCGCATCATCATCATCAGCCATTCAAACGAAGGGCAGCAGCAGCAGCAGCAGCAGCAGCAGCAGCAGTGGATTGTGGATCAATAATCCACAATGAAAATGTCGTAGTAGCTTTGGGGATGCTGCGTGTCGTGTCTCTTATTGAGAGAAAGATCTCTCTCTCTCTGTCCCTCTCGCTCGCACAAAGTTCAATGACAGTTGCATTCTACAACAAATTCTAATTGAGAGAGAGAGAGAGGGAGGGAGGGTGGGTGAGAATTGTAGACCCCCCAGAAACAGACACAGCATTCAACATTCATCTGTTTGTAAATATTTGCATAGGTCCAACACTACAGAGAGAGAGAGGGGGGGAACGCACTTCTGGCCACATCGTGTGTCCACTCAATGGGTCTCTCTGCTCGCCTCCTCCCTTCTTGCAACAAAGTGCCAACACAAACAGAAAAGAGAGATGCAGATGCACTTTTAAAATTCTCACAAGAAACAAAAAAAAACGAGAAGGAACGTGTGAGTCGCTTCTGGGGACGCGACTCTACTTATACCCGTACTCAGTCTGTATATACATTTTTGAGCTAATGATTTTTTAGAATTAAAAAAAAAACATTTTACATTTTACATTTTTTTGCTACATCTATTATCTACATCTACATCTAAAATGTATATTCCACATCTAACATGTAGATTGTACATGTACCATTTATATTCTACATCTCCTCCGCTAGGGGTTGCTCGCGCACTGAACGCGGCAGAGTGTGCGAGCGAAGAGAATCAGTAGCGTCAGCAGCGCTGGAGAAGGAGAGGGAACCAACAGAAAATTCATTTCTTCATTCTGGCTATAACTATGATCCGATCTGATTCAGATTCGGCCATCTGGTAGATATGGTCATTTTCTACGATACTGCGTTTTTAGTTTTATCGTATCTTTAAAATTGTGCCTGCCACAGATTTTCGTCCTTTATGGGGGCGGAAGGGGGCGGGGCGAAATTTTGAAATACACTTGTAGCAGTGTGATATCACATGAGTCTGGAAACCAAATTTGGTTGCTCTAGCTCTTATAGTCTCTGAGATCTAGGCGCTCATCAAGACGGACAGACGGACGGACGGACAGACGGACATGGCTATATCGACTCGGCTATTGATGCTGATCAAGAATATATATACTTTATGGGGTCGGAAACGTTTCCTTCCCTGCGTTACACACATCCACTTTTACCACAAATCTAATATACCCCTTAACTCTTTTTTGAGTACGGGTATAAAAATGTATGGGAAAAAGCAAGGAAAAACGAGCGAGCGTACACTCAGAGAAAAATGGCATGGTAAGACGAAACAAATCCATGCATAAATTATATTACAATTTCAGGGCCTTTTTTCTCTGTGTGTAATTGATAGTTTTGTTACATCTTTCAATGTACTTTCAAGATCATTCAAGATTTGTTGGATCCGTTCGTCTGTAAATAAGTAAAAATCTCCTTCCCCCTGCTACTGCTGCAGTTCAATAATCTCCAGCCCGCGTATCGGTTTTCTTTAGTTCACCTTGAAACACAAACACACGAGATAGAGATGGAGAGACACAGACGGAGGGGAACAGAGCAGATCAATGCTAGATCAATATAGAAACATGATTTCCATGATAAACCAATTATAACCTCAGTCCAACGTTGAAAATTGTAGAGCCAGAGAGCCACAAAGAATTCAAACGAAATTTAAGCCCCCATTGCGTGGCTCCATTCCAGTTCCAGTTCCAGTTGAACGCGAATGACAAAGGCCATGGGGGCCGGCCATGGTGCTTCCTGCCACACAGTAGTTGCGGCTTTGGACCTGGTCCAACCATGGACACATTTATTTCAAAGAGAATAATGCCCGAATAATATTAAATTTGCTGTACGAAGACTTCCGTTATGAGCGATTTGCAATGAATTTAATAAAATCTACCATCTTAAGAGCTTTATTTTGGCAATTTCCAATCACACGTGAACGTGCCTGCTAATGGAACTGCTGTACTGTGCTGTGCTGTATTATGTATCTTTAGCTCTAGGTTAACAATTAGGAAAACACTCCCCAAAGACCCCAAAGACTCCCCATGACCTACTCAACAAAATGTTGCATGTTCCGGTACCATTCCCCAGCGGGATTTTCTGAATAGTCATCGCTATGGCTATGAAGATGGGGGGGGGGGGATGGGTACGAGGGTTTGAGGGTGAGGGATAATGGCTGAAAGCTTTAAGTGTAATTACTTTTACTTTACTTGACTTTACTTTACTTTATTATAATAATAAAAATATTCCCAACAATTAACTAAAAGTGAGCGTGAACGACGTCATCAGTTTCACCTGTGGAGTGGGGGAGGGAAATAGAAAATGGGAGTGGGTCTGGGTCTGTGCCCTCGAAAGAGCATTATGAATAATATTTTCATGTTTGTGGACATTTACAGCCACTTCCGTCGTCAATTAATAAAAACAACAAACGCAACACCCAAAAAAGA